TGAAAAAGAAAAATCATGTGACCATCTGGGCAGATGCAGAACAAGCATCTGTTAAAATTGTACTTCCATTTATAACTAAAAATAAAAGAAACACTCAGCAAACTGGGAATAGAAAGGAACTTCTTTAATCTGATAGAGAGTATCTACCAAAAACCTAGAGTAAACATGATACCTCATTATCAAATGTGGACAGCCCTTCCATAGAGCTGCAAAAGACAATTTGTCCACTGTCTTTGTTTTGTTTTGTTTTTTGAGACAAAGTCTCACTCTGTTGCCCAGGCTGGAGAGCGGTGGTGCAGTCTCAGCTCACTGCAACTTCTAGCTCCCAGGTTCAAGCGATTCTCCTGCCTCAGCCTCCCAAGTAGCTCAGACTACAGGCACACACCACCATGCACAGCTAATTTTTGTATTTTTAGTAGAGATGGGGTTTCACCATGTTGGCCAGGCCGGTCTCGAACTCCTGACCTCAGGTGATCCACCCACCTCGGCCTTCCAAAGTGCTGGGATTACTGGTGTGAGTCACCGCGCCCAGCCATTTCTTCAATTCATTATTGTACTGAGGTCTTAGAAGGGTAGTAAGGCAAGAATAAAAAGGAAAGAATAAAGGGATTAGAAAGGAAGAAACAAAACTGTTACTTGTACTTTTTACAGTGATATAAAGTGTTCTCAAAATAATCTACAAATACATTTTGTTTTAAATTAGTAAGAGAGTTTAACAAGATTTCTGGATACAAAATCAATATGCAAAAGGCAAGCACATTTCTCCAACAAATAACCAACAAGGCACTAATTTATCAAAAATGTATAATAGCATACAAATTATCAAATAATAGAAATATATCTAACAAAAGATATTAAAAAAACACTAAGGTAAAATTAAGAAACTATGCCACGAAATATTAAAGATGTTAAAAATATCCTAAATAAGTAGAGAGATACCATGTTCATGAAAGATTAAATATGACACCTTCCACCCTCTAGAAGGCAACAAAAAGCGCAGTGTAACGGCTGGTATTTAGAAATCAGAGCAACCTGGATTTATATTCCAATTTCTGCTGCTTCTAAACTCTGTGACTTTGGACATTTCGCAACCCCTCTGAATCTGTTTATTCTCTTATAAAACATGGATAATAATTCCTTGTTAGAAGTCAATGGAGAAGAGAGCACTTTGCAGAGTGCCATATAAATACAGGACATTCTTACAACTAGGATTTTTGCCCCTTGTTGGTCTAAGGGTGGGGAAAAAGTTAAATGTTCCAGACTAAGCCAACTTGCTTGCTTATGCCCATCTATATGTCATCAAGGGCATTGCTGAATGTTTATTCTGTTCATAACATTTCTTCATTCAGTCCTCATAGCAACCTGTAAGGTAGGTGCTATATTAGCCCCATTTTACAGATAAGAAAGCTGAGGCCCAGTTAAGCAATTTGTCATTCACATATTCATCCATTCCGTAGACATTCAAGAATATCTTCTATGTGCTAGGAGCCTGTGAATGTCCTGGTGCATAAGACAAATGTGCTCCCTGATCTATTAGAGCTGACATTATGGTTGGAAAAACAGCCAGAAATCACACTTCAATGAACACACTGGCAGAACTCAGATTCAAACGCAGGTCTGTTAGAATCCGAGTCCATACTTTTAAGAACTCCTTGGGGGCCGTTTCCTCAACCTCTTTTGCCCATTCCTCTGTTGGAATGTGACAGTTTCTAATGTGCACTCTTCCAGCAGCAGCAAGTTTCAATGGCCCTCGCCATTCAAGCTGCTGCACAAATCGAGAGCTGTTAGCTTTGATCCTGGCCCATGTGATCCCCCTGCATTATCACTGGAGAATTACGGCAGGGAGGATGAATGCATAAAAGAGGCAGGCATCCTGCTCCGCTCCCTCCCCAACAGCATCAGCAGCATTGTTCCCGAACAGTATGCATCTGAGTCCTCCACAACCATTAATGGCAGAAGTGAGTCACTTATAAATAAGATATGGGAGCTTTATTATAATTACATCCCAAGATTCAGAAATGCTCAGCGTCACTGTGAAAGGGAGGGCAGCAGGTGACTGGGGCTTGAATGATACTCTGCCAGGTACATCTTTCAGATAAAACATCTTAGATCAGGAGCAATTAGAGCTAATGCCCAGCCTGAATGCTAATGAGAATCACTTACAATTGCATGTAATTCTTTGCCATTTATACCATCTGCTTTATTCCTTCTTTTCTCCACATTTCCAACCTAACATTAATCTGGAGAAATAGACACTAGCAAATGGAACTAATGGCCATTTTGCAGATGAGGAAACCGAAGCCCATGGTCGCTTGGTTCTAAGGGCCAGAGCTGAGGTTCCACCCTAAGCTTTCTGTCCCTCTAGAAAACATCTGATTGAAAACTGTCCCAATTCGTGCTCCTCAGAACCAAGCCAGAGTACAAAGTTCAAGCTGCACTGCGCAGCAGCAACATCAGCCACATGAGTGACACTCGTGACAATGCCCAAGGCCTGCTGGGTGCCTAGGAGAGTGTCAGAAGTTTATACAGGTCCACACGAAGACTTCAAGTTTCAGGCTATTTAAAGCTTGAGACTACAGCAAGACTTCGGGGGCACACACTCTATCTAACCAGAACTACTCTCACTTTACAGATGAGAAGGCAAGAGGCCTGCAGAGGCTGGGCAATTTGCAGGTGGCAGGGCCAGGATACAGAGCTGGTGCTGTTTGGCCTTCATAGCAACAATAATAACAACTGACTCTTAACAATGACAGGTATTACATGGGACCATTCAAGTGCTTTATGCACATGAACACACCGAATTCTCTTACCAACCCAGGGAGGAAGGTGCCAGGAATACCCCCAGGAGCTGCGAATGTCCTGGTGCATAAGACATTCTAAAAATGGAGAAACTAAGGAACAGAGCCATGTAGCAACTTGACCAAGGCCACAAAACTCATAAGCGATAGTCCTGGGATTTTAATCCAGGCAGGTGAGCTTCAGAATCCCACACTCTTGATGTCTTTGCTATGTGTTTTCTCTGCTAAGGAAAAGCCAGACGCTCCACTGTGAAGAGGAAAGGGCGAACACAGAATTCAGAGAGCTGAAGAGGAGGATGCTCGTGTACAAGTCCCTCCTCCCTTGGACACTCAGCTGAGGGCTAGGAAGGACCACTCCCAGCCCAGCATTGGCCAAACTACTCTGGGGTGCAGGGTCACTTGGCAGGCAACTCCGGCCTCCACCCAGGTCTGAAATCATGGACAGGTGGCACCTGCCCATCTCCTGCCTCCACGGGATTATCTGTCACATCTGAAAACAAAATCAATGCCAGATATCCCCTGCCCTTCTCCATAGACTCTCCCCAGGAGAAATGACTGAATCACACGGAGATTTACATGGGGCTGTCCGGGATTCCTGTGAACAGCAGACCTGCTGCTTGGCTTCCCTCTATTCACCTCTGCTGCTGTCAGCCACAAGCACAGAAGGACCTAAGGTCCCATCTGCCACCTGAGTTTCATTCATAATCTAGAGGGAGTCTGGCAAGATGCGTGTTCAAACTCCAACTCTGCCATGAGCCAGCTGGGCAATCTTAAGCAAACCACTTAACCTCTCTGAGCCTCAGTAGACTATCTTTTCAGTAATAGTAATTACTTTGCAAGAATGGTGTGAGTATTAAGTGAAATAATGCATAATGATGCTCTCATGTATCCAACCTCCCTCTCTCCCAGTCCCTGCTGGTTTTTGGCTGTCTCCAAGACCCTTCTATAAGACCCTCAATTCCCCTCTCCTTCATGTTCCAGGGACACAGTCTGTCTGTGCTCCTGTCACAGGTTTCTGGCCCCTCAATCATGAAATGCGATCTTCAGGCACCTTCCAGTCTGGGAACCTTGCTCACTGGGACTCCCAGGCTGCCCCCTCCTGTCTGCTCCAGTCTGAGGTGGGAGCCCTCTGCTGGAGGACGGTCACTCTGCCTGGAACATCTCTGCATGACCAGCTCCCAGGCAAGCGGACATCTCGGAGGGATCAGGGAATTAGGAGGGGAGGAGTGGCATCTTCATGGAGGACTGGGGGTTAGGGGGTGGGGTAACAGAGAGGGAGAGGTGGCTTCCTTGAGGAGCCGCTGTACTCCGGCTCCTGCTCCTGGCTTCCTGGCATCCTTCCAGAAAAACTGAGAGCAACTTCCAGAATCTGATGTCTAAAAGAGCAGCCCCGGTGCGCTTCTGTCACCAGAATCCACTCCCCGGCCATAATATCCACTCATTTTCCCAAAGCATCCTCTTTCGAGTACAATGAGGAGGAGGTGATCCGCCTCTTGCTCCACACCCCCAGTTGCCACCAAACTACAGGAGGAGGGTGGGTGGTGGTCTCGACACTCCCCACCTCCAACTCCAGGTGACACTGAGCCTGGGGCTCACCCCAGTGTAGTCAAGTGATTTGGGTCAGGATGACTCCGATCAAAACCCTGGCTCTCTCCCTTTAACTAGCTGGTGCTCCTGGGCACAACTTTGCCTCCCCGAGCCTCAGTTTCCTCCTCTGTAACATTAGTATAACAATACCCGGTTCCTCGAGTTACAAGAATTGCAACAGATAGTGTATGCCCAAGCCTGGCACAGAGAACGCTCTCAACCGATGGGCTGGCACTAGGGTTAGCAGCAAACTCAGACCCTGGGGAGGCTCAAAGAAAACAAGGCTCCCTCTCTGCGCGCCGGAGCCCAAAGACCGACTCTCGGGGCGCGCACCCTGCCCAAGCCGGGGGAAGCTAAAGGTGTCTGTCTGTCGAGTGCTGGGGCCACAATGTGGAGAGGGGAGCGGTGCCACAGAGCGAACTGCGCTCCGCCACTCTACCCAGGCCACCCGCGTCGCGAGGGTACCTAAGCGCGCCCATCTCAAGCCGCCGGCTCCTGGGGTCCCGGCCGCCCCGCAGGGATGCCGGGATCCCAGCCTAGCCAGGGCGCAGCCTCGTCCCGCTGCGGCGGCCCCGCTCCCGCCCCCGCCCAAGCCGGCGACCCTCTGCGACTCACCGGTGCTGGCTCCTGGGAAAGTTTGCTGGCGCGGCCGCCAGGCTGCTCGGTGTGCCTCGGGGGCGGCTGCAGGGGCGCAGGGGAGAGCTCGGGGAGGCGGGGCGCAGGAGGAGGAGCCGCGCCTAGGGGCCCACCCGCAAGCAGCAGGAAGGCGGGGACCCGGGACCCGAGGGCCTGCAGCGCCCCCGCACCCGGCTCCACGTGCCCAGGGCCGCCCCTGCGGAGGGTGGGGACGCGAGGGGCGTGCCTCTCGCTCTGACACCCTCTCCAGGCTTTCGCCCCAGGTTTGAAGCTGCTCCCGCTGGGTACCCGGGCGCGGGATCTGCGTGGTGGATGGCTCCTTGGGTTTGGAAAGAAAGGTGGCAGAAGGGTCAGAACCTTGGTGAGACAACTCCATCCCCACCCACGCACTTGCAGGCACACAAAACGACAGACACAGATAAATCAAGACAAAGAGGCAGAGATGGAAATAGAGATGAAACGATGGTTGGCAGAGTCAAACACAGGTAGACTGAAAAAGACAAATAGTGTTACCTGTGCCCCTCATTCCTGCTAGAGGCGCCAAAATCGAAAAAGGCAAAGTCAGACAGAGGTGGAACAAGATTGACAGATAGAGACCCTACCCCTAGAGGTTTCGTGGGGAACCAAAGAGACCCAGGGTCTGCAGCCTCACACTTGTCTTCTGTTTCTCCCTAGCCCGTCCTGATGAATGGGTCCGCATTTCAAAATAGGCTGTGTTTTAATTAGCATCCTGTGCCATCTTGGGCAGCGAGGTGAGGGGAGGGGTGGGGTTAGGGTGAGGCCCCTCCGCAGGTCGCAGGGAACCTCTGTCCCTGGCTCTGGGAGCCTGAGGATTCTTCCTGGCTGCCTTCCTTTCCAGAGCTGGGAAAGAGAGGTCGAGTTTTTTCTCCCTCCTCGGCTCCTAGAAAACTTCATTTGAACCTCTGAACAGTTATGGCTTCAGATCTTAGCCCAGCACTTGCGAAGGGACGACCCAAGCTCACAGGGAGTGGAGGGTGTTTGAGAAGGTGGGACATGGTGGGTTAGGGTGTGAGGGTTAGGGGTCAAAGGGGCATTTTAGTCACCTTCCAGTATGAGCAGTCCTACCAGCACTGGTTGTGGACTGGGTCTGAGGCCTGGCTTCATAAGCTGTGTATGGTAGGTGGATGGTCCCCCTTCCCAGCCTCAGGGCCCATGTCGGTAACACGGGAATTAATAAAGACAGGTGCCATTGTACCCATGTCGGCAACATGGGGGTTAATAAAGACAGCTGCCATTGTGCCCATGTCGGTAACATGGGTGTCAATAAAGACAGGAACCATTGTGCCCACATCAGTAACATGGGGGTTAATAAAGACAGCTGCCATTGTGCCCACGTTGGTAACACAGGGGTTAATAGACAGCTGCCATTGTGCCAGATGTTCTTCTAAGTGCTACAGGTGCTTACTCATTTAATCCTCACAACAATAATAGGTCCCAGTAGGTAGGAACTATTATTATCCCTATTTTACAGATGAGAAAATGAAGGCACAGAGGTTGAGTAACTTGCACAAGGTCACATGTAGGAGAACTGAGCACCCACCCTATGCAGCCTGGCTGAAAGGTCCAAGGTCCTGTTACACTATAACTTCATCTCAGTGGGGCTGTTGGAAAGTTTCATGATGCCATTTCTGTAAAGGGCTTAGTGCTCCATAATGGTAGCTCAGAGATCACTGATCCCATCCGCAAGGTGGGGATTAAAGGACCTTTATCTGTCCAGAGATATGGGACTCTGGCTTTGGGATAATGGTAGGCCATGTCACTGTTCTGGGCATTATGGATGTGAGAGGTCAGGGATGTCCCATTTGGTTTTCTGGCCAGCCCTCTGCATGTTAGCACAAACCCACAGCCAAGACTCACCCCAGATCCACGTAAGCCCTCTCCCAGTCCCTGGTGATTCTCCAGGGCCTCCATATTTTACACTTTACCAGACTAATGCACCCTTTGGAACTCAGTTAGCACTCAGGATAGCAACTGTTACAAACTCTAAAGGAAATACATTTCCTCTCTCTACAGCTGCAGGGCTTACAGAGGGTGAAGTGGGGGGGGGGGTAGGGGGCAGGGCAGGGGGAAACCTAGGAAAGAGCTGTGTCCACTTTTTCTTTTGTTTTTGAGCCGGGGTCTCCCTCTGTCGCCCAGGCTGGAGTGCAGTGGTCCGATCTCAGTTCACTGCAACCTCCATCTCTTGGGTTCAAAGGATTCTCCTGCCTCAGCCTCCAGAGTACCTGGGACTACAGGCACACGCCATCTCGCCGGGCTAATTTTTTTTGTATTTTTACTAGAGACAGGGTTTCACCATGTTGGCCAGGATGGTCTTAATCTCCTGACCCGGTGATCTCCCCGCCTCAGCCTCCCAAAGTGCTGGGATTACAGGCGTGAGCCACCATGCCCCGCCAAGGCTGTGTCCACTTTCATCCCTCCAGTCTCCATTCTGCATTTCAGCAAAGGCTTGGTTATTTGGAATTCCTCCCCAAAGTTTCACTTCCTGGGCTAGTTTTAGGCCTGCTAAATCCATAGTGATCAGCACTTTTAGAAACAGCACGTTAGACGTGATTTCAAGCCCCTAGTAATCAGGGTGTGTGTTATTTTGCTGTGGCATTTGGAACTGACAGATCAGGAGGTACCCCTGGCTGTATGAAGGGCGGGGGAGCAGGAGGGCATAATCAACTTATTAACAACATACAGGCCACAGCAGAAAAACAACAGCTAACCCCATGCTTACTGCTTACTGTGTGTCAGGCTCGATTTAAGAGCTTTACATAATTAAATAATGCATCAATTCTTCACAATTCCATGAGGTAGGTACTATTGTCATCCCATTTTGCAGATGAGAAAACTGAGGCACAAAGAGATGAAGGAGCTTGTTCAGTATATAAAGCTAGTAAGTCTTCCCAAGATCAGACAGGTGGGAAGCAGCGGAGCCAGATCTGGAGCCCAGAGCAGTCTGGATCCACAGCCCTACTCCTACTTCTGTGCTTTGTGGAAGAAACAGAAAAGGGGACGACCTCAGTGCCTGAGTAGAGACTGAAGGTAATGAGAAGAAATAAGTAGATTAAAAATACCTGCTCTGTCACTTACTAGCTCTGTGTTTACTTTGCTTCTCTGAGCCTCAGTTTCCTCATCTGTATGTAAAATGAGAATAGTAATGCCTGTGTCACACCCAGAATTTTAGTGATGGGCTGGGCATGGCGGCTCACCCCTGTAATCCCCAAGGAGGACTGGGGAGGCCAACGTGGGAGGATTACTTGAGCCCAGGAATTTGAGACTAGCTTGGGCAACATGGGGAGACCTTGTCTCTGCAAAAAATAAATAAATTAGCCAGGCATGGGGCACCAGCCTATAGTCCCAGCTACTCAGGAGGCTCAGGTGGGAGGATTGCTTGAACCTGGGAGATCAAGGCTGCAGTGAGATATGACTGAACACTGCACTTCAGCCTGGACCACAGAGCAAGACCAAAAATAATAATAATAATAATAATTTTCATGACTTTTAGAAAAATTAGCATCTTAGACAGCATTTCAAGCATTCAGATAGGATTTCAAGCCCCTGGTAATCAGGGTGTGTGTTGTTTTGCTGTGGCATTTGGAACTGCAGATCAGGAGGTACCCCAGGCCGTATGAAAGACGGGGGAGCAGGAGAGCATAATCAGCTTACTAACAATGTACAGGCCACAGCCTTTTGATTGCAGGTAACAACTCGATTATAACCAGTTTTGTTATAAAGTTCTTAAATGGAAATGTTTAGGAGGTAGGCCTGGATTCAGATGCTTCCAAAAGCTCAAAGATAATTGTCATGAATCTGTCTCCCTCTGTGTTGACTCTGTTTTCTTTTCTGTTAGTTTTATTTTATACATATGTGTCAGTTTTATTAGCAGGCTGGCTCTTTCCACAGGGAGGTAGAAATGGCTAAAAAACCTCAAGGCAAAGAGATCACATCTTTCCAAATATTTCCAGCAAAAATCCCTGGGCTGACTCCAATTGGCTTGGCTTGGATCACATGTCCAGTCCTGAAACCATTATAGTTGTTTTGGTTGGCTAAGCCTGAGTCACATGCCTGTGTCTGAAGTCAAGGGGTAGGGTCAGCCCCTGCTAGGCTGCTGGAACTAGGAGTAGGTGAGAGACGGTTCCCTAAAAGAAAATCAAGGTGCCATTAGCAGAATAACTGGGGTCCCAGACAGGCAGGAACACAGATGTCGTCTCCCTCACAGTGCTGTTGTCAAGATTAGGTAAGCTCACGCAGGCAAACTGCTCAGCACGGTGCTTGGGTCTGGGAGATGCTCAGTAACTGAATCCTCTCCCTTCTTCCCTCCTGTAGGAAACAGGAATCGTGGCTCACCAAATCCAGCCCAACTGCTTCCTAGTTCACATGGGGAAACCAAGGAAGGCCCAGGGAGGGGAAGGGACTTGACCAAGTTGCCTAGCTAACTAGCCACAGAACCCATGTCCCCCGTCTCTGAAACAAGTTCCAGTTAAAGTCTTCGCTGATAATTTTAAATCCTCTACTAACCAAGGGAGTCATCTTTGCATTTGCACAGGGGAGACGGGAAAGTCGCAAAGCCCTTAAGGTCCAGAGGAAATGAGTGTCACTAAGTTGGGCTACCAGGCTGTGCAACAAGCTGAGGACAGGGAGGTCTGGGCAGGGAGCCCGGTCCGGCTCCCCACCCATCGCATCATGGAGTCAGCCATTTCCTCTGGGGACTGCACCCACTGGGTGCTGAGAGATTCAAATGGCTCTTTTACATGAAGCTGCCCCAAGTGGGCAAGATGGCTCTTCCCTTGATTTATTTCCTGCTCACATTATGAGAGTCAAAGTGCATCCTTCAGGACCAAAGTGGCCAAGGGGCCAGCATGTTATTAGAGTGATCAAAATGTACCATTTTCGATGTGGCCCTAATTCAGTTCCAGAGTTTTGGCTTCCACTTGCTTTTACTTATCTGTACTTTCTAACATTTCTTTAGCAAATTTTTATTACTTTGGCAATTAGAAAAAATGACCAGTAATTTTTATAAAAGGATTTGTGTTTGATTTG